TTTAGACAAAGAGTAATGATAACTTGTGGTATAAAGGATTTTACTTTTCAAGATATTACTGATCCAAGTGAGTATCAAATACAAGATGAGACCATTATTTCACTATTTGGCAGCTATTTTTCTTGAATCAAAAGTAAGAAAAGATATATGGAAACTGTGTTCTTTCCCTTATATTAGGTCTAAACTCTATTCCAATTGGATCCATGTAGAATCATATATAGCAACTTTTTGTTAATGCTGGGAAACAAACTATATTACATTTATAACATGCATGCAGAAATGCCACTTATAAGACCTGTTACATATTCATAAGACCTGTTACATATTCATAAGACCTGTTACATATTCATAAGACCTATAAAATATTCATGTGCTTAATAGTTACTATTTTTGCTGAATCAGTTATTTAATGTCATTTTATATTTCAGCATTAAAACGTTTAGTAAGAGTTTGTAGTGCTGCTATCAATCTGTATAAATTTAGAGACAGTAGAGTGACAATATTTGACAATTATAAAGAAGAAAATGTAAGCCAGTAATTAAAAGAAAGGTTTTTTGGGGTTTGATCTCAACGAGTTAAAGGGCAGATTCACCATCTGTTTGACCAATCGTACCTTGTCTCAGAAACTATAATTGTTTTGCGACGTTAATCAGTTATAGTGTTCACAGCTCCCAGTTTAAATTTGAGCCTTTAAATCTATGTGTATCCAGAAGTAAATTTGTTTGAATGTTAAAATGACTCGTCTTTTGCTCAGAGGCCCCCATATATAGAAAAGACATATTATATAGAAGTCATGGAATTGAAGTTAGAAAAGGTCTGAATAGTATCTTTAAGTTTCTGACAATCTATAATATAGTGTAAGAAAAATAACAAACAAACATTATTAGTTATGCCGACTCTTTAAAAGTATGAGAATTTGTTTGTATTGTAGAAAAAATATAAAGAAATATATGATGAACTAAGACAGAAGATCAATAGATATAAATCAATTAGAGCTGAACAAGAACCTGAAATTAAACAGGTAATAGATCATGGTCATAGCTTTTTTTCTTGTTTGAGCTATTTACATATACTCCTGAACTCCTCAAATACCAATGGGTGCATATATGTCCCTACTGCCTCAAATACTACAGGGGCAGATATACCACATGGGTAGTGTTCTTCTCAAAATCGTGTTTGAGAACATTCTACTGAACAGAGAATCAAACGCACCTGAACTTGATTAAGGTCAAGGCTATCTCTAAAAAGTGACACATACAGATGGTTGTGAAATTTAAGATAATTGCATCATATATGCTTTAATTTTGCCCTTATTTCGATTTCTCTTTGTGTGAGGTGTTGATTTATTGCGTTTTTGGTATATGTTGTGTATATCAAATTTCTATAAAATAAAGATGTGTTTTATTTATTGTTCTCAGACAACCCCAATGATGTATATATATTTTTATAGACTCAAGATGGAATAGATACTCTGACAGTTGCTATGGATAAAAGTCAAAAACAATCAGCCAGTAAACAGAAAGATATGCAAGAAGTTAAAACAGATTTAGCTGAGAAAAAGGCTTTAGTGGTTAGTAAAATATAATATATACTAAAAATAACTCTTGGGGACAGAATGTAGCTCAGTCTGCTAGAGTGTTGGAATATGAATGCCAATTCTTTTATCACCTGAATGAGAATGTTTTGGTCATCAGTCTTACAACTGACCTAGTTGTAAATGGATATTATTTTCAAGTAGTGCTTGCAGGATATATCGATGAATCAATGTATCACAATACGACAAACCATGATACACATATCGTATCGAGAGGCCGTATATCAATACTTGACTGAAATGAAATCACAATTATTTTCCTGGACTTGATTGGAGATACCCAGCATTAATACCAAAGAAAGATCAATGACAGCAATGATCAGTTTAGTAAAGAACTGGTAGACATGATTCTCGAGAACATAAAGTTGTTATTGGAAATGGATGGTTATTTTTTTTTCTTGTTGGTTAATTCGAAGTACAGTACAAAGTTCTCGTCTTTTTTTGCAGGACCAAGTGAAGGTGGAAATAATAGAACAGGAAAAATTGATTGAGAACATTGCCTTGAAAATAGTTCAATCACCAGAGAAAATCAGGAAAGAATTAGAAAGGAACCAAGAAAGAATGGTATCAATGAAGAATGAAATTGATGAAAAACGTAACAGACGGACAGAGTGGACAAGACAAGCTGATGTATTTAAACTAAGAGAATCAACTGCAGATAAACTTTTAAAACTTCTACAGTCTTGTCAACAAGAAAAAGACCAAGAAAGGTACATAAACAGAAGAAAAGTTGTATGTGCACAGTGGGAAGATTCAAACATACCATTAATTTTAATAGGCACTCTTGGGCGTCAATCTTATATTATACTCATACCTTAAAAGATTCTACCTCTTAAAATGGACATACTAATTTAAAGTCTCAAACTTGGTCAATAAGTGTATATATTCATCAGTTGGACTTACCAGGTGTCATGACTAAATAATAGAATATCTATATAATACAATATATCTATTAAACTAAATAATTATTGAAAGATCTTTGTGAACCTAAGTTGTAATATCTTTTTCAATATATAAAGTTTTTGTCAATCATGATATACAATTGTTTTTTTAAGAGACCTAGTGAAAGATATATCACAGAATGGTGAAACAATACAAGAATCTCTATCTACATTAGAAGAAATCAGTGTTAAGAAGAGTCAGCTAGAGGCTAGATTAGACTCTAAGAAAGAAACTATTTCAAATTATAATTCACAGTTAACAGCTAAGAAAAAAGCCTTAGCTGAACATTTAGAACAGATCAAAAGGTAAGAATGGCCATTTTGCTTTCAGATTATTTATACAAGGTGATATTTCTCAAAAACATTCCCTGTTCTACGATTTAATCAATTTGTCTAGAGAAATGGGTGCCGCTTGATTGGTAAGTTCAACATGTTCGAGATTTATGGAATCAACAGAACATTTAACAAAACAAGTTGGAACACAGTTCAGAATGCATTTCATTGAAACAATAGTTGGTGCAGACAGAATGTGATATATTCACTATCATACTGTTTGATTGGGGGCAGAATTGGAACAGAACTCTCCAATCGAGCGCCACCATGGGATGCATGAAAATGTTTTTGTTTATGATTTTATAGTCAGAAGATGTCATACACAAAGAAACACAATAGAGAGACAGAACAAGTAGAAGAAATTATAAAACAACAACAAACAGCATTAGATGAAACACAGAGTGCAGACGACGAACTTGATGAAAGACTTGATACAATTACCTCCCTTTATACTCAACTATCTGAGAAGGTCAGTGGTAGTTTTTACTTTTAAAAAGGGCTTGCTAAACTGGTGTGATCATTATAGACATTTGCAAATTTGAATTTTTCACCAGGGGTTCCAGTAGAAATGGTTGACCATTTTATAATTGATTGCTGAATGTCGAATGGGGCTAGTATGGATAACTGAGCCCACTAATCATGAGAAAAAAAAAGAGATTTGCCTTCTGGAGTTGGAGCAATTGTGAACCAAGGGAACAAACACTCCAAATTTCATGTTAGCATGGCAGGAAATGGACTAATCCAGATATTACATAATAACAGGTTGCTTTTACATAGTCTTTGTGATAATATGAAAGTTTCATTTGAATTTATTTTGTATTTATAGTATGGTGAAAGACAAGAGAAATTAGGAGAAGAATGGGAGAGATTTTTACAGACATTAGATGTTGGAAAATAAAGTCTTGTCTTGTATTTTACTGTTAGTGCTTTTACTTTCAAGGACTGTTCCTAAATGTAACTAGGACCAGGATTTAATTTTGATTCCATTTCTTACAAATTTGGTATCAATTCAAAATATCCCAGTAGTTAACTTTCTAAAAGATCTTGCCTAAGACATTAGTTCCTTAATGTTGCCATATATTTCTAGATTTTACTAAAAATTCTCACGAAATATATTTGATTTGATTCACAGATCATCGTGATAAATTTTTTTAGCTCATCATGGGAAATCACAAAAGGGGCCATTTTGACTTGCAAACTGAGATAGAATACCACGTAAATTGAACCATTGCATACAAAATTTGATGACGGATGTGATGGGATAACAAGAAATTCAAATTATTTGGTGAAAATTGAGTCCAGACCAAGTTGTTTATCAGAAAGCACAAGCCATGGTATTTATAATCCTATTAACAAAGAAAGCCAATATATAATAATATAATTTATTAAGTCTTCCTCTTGTATATATATACTACATACATCTAGAGACAATTACAAAATAAACACAAATAGTTAACTTGATTTTGATTGATAATAACTGGTAATTGAAACCTATATGTATTCATTACTACTTTAACTGCCTTAAGTTGACTATTCCTGTTTATGATTATCGATGAATAGTCTGTGCACATCAAGAAATGAAAATGAAATGAATGGAGTTTTACATCCTACTTTTCTGCTGTGCACATCCAGGTCAAAGCATAAACAAAACAGTCCACTTTAGTTTGAGGTATTTTAAATAGTAATGAATACAGTAGAGGCCTGACTTAATAGTTCCATTATCTTATAATCCACCTCAAAATCAAGTAGACTATTCCTGAATTTTAATTTGGGTTGATAAAATAAATAATAGCACTACATAAAAATACAGCAGTGTGCTCCTGCAGTTGGAATAACAATATTATCCACCATTGTATAGTATTATCCACCAGGGGAGTCATCAGCCTATTGGTGTAAGAAATCCAAAATGGCTTCTTTTCAGATATAAACCTCTACTACATTTAAATATATCATATTATCTATTTCTATCATCTTTTACATTATAATTTCTTGCTTGAGGTTTTTTATTTAGTTTTAATTTGATATTTTTACTGGTTGTTGCTGATTGAGGTCTCTTATTGTCTTTTGTTTGTAATGATGTTTTCTGTCCTTCTATTTGTATTTTATTATCTTGTTTATCTACTCTTCCACTTTTATCTGTAATAAACAGTATACACAGTTACAAAACAAGATTTATAATATCATAATCAAAGTGAGGGTGGGCTCAGTGGGGATGTCCCTCCCATATAAAACAGCAAAATGGACATGTGCTGTGTTCGATACCTGTTGTGATTACTGTACTTCGTATTGACATATATTCACAAAGCTAACAGCTTTTCATCCATAAAGCTGTAACACTATTTTCACAACATATATTGAATGCAGCAATAAGCCTTTCTCCCAGTGCTCAACAATGTGTGGTGTTTTGTTATTGTTTTGAATTTTGGTTTATCAATATTGTCAAAAAAGGGAATTATCCTTGTTTTATAAACTTCATTTAGTTTTCAAAAGCAGTATGATTTTCAAATGTTTATTACCATTGGTAATCCAATGAGTCTTCAAAAAACTCAAATAAAGAATATTACCACATTTTCCATAACTTACTTGAGTGTGGTAGAGCTCTGGGTGTAATTAAACTAGGACTATCCTGACCGTCTAACATCTTCCATACTTCCTGTATAGATTCACCACCAACAGACGACATACTCATTAATACTGGATCATCATGACTACCTAATACTTTATTATCCAGACTATTTCCAGTACTCATCATTTCACGACTCTTAGAAGCTGCTGAAAATATTAATTTTTAAGTTATTTCTTATATATTATTATTGCAGAGATCATATTCAAGGAACTTTTTGGACACTATCATCTATCATAATTATTTTACATGGGTCGAATACACAAAAACAAGGTCCTGTCTAACATTCAGCCCATGGGGACAATAAATATTTATGCAACATAGGTCATAAAATGTTGTCAAGCAACTTCACTATTGTGGTCTTAAATTATCTTTAATACAATCAAAGTTGTCTCCCATGACATGAAATGGTAGCCTTACATGATAGATGATTTCTTTACTTTCTTGTCTTGATGCTTACCTAATGTTGATGAGGAATCTTTTAAGACTGGCCGGAGATCTGACTGTCCCACATCTTTAACCTTTGGTGGAGAAAATTTTTGTGCATATTGTAATTCCTAAAAGAAAAAATAGCCATACTGACCAGAGAGAGCTAGGCAAGTTATCATTGAATGATTTTACTCATTTTAAACTGAAGCATGGTATATTAAGTATTCCACAAAATTTCTACTCCGAACTGAACTCATAAGCGAAATACAATTTTTAGAAGATTTTGGCTGGTTAATCTGGGGTTGCTAATTTCCAGACAGTAGGTTGCCTCAATCTAACTCCCTATTTGCATCATCTACAATATTAGTGGTCCAATGAGGGAGGACGGCCAGTAGTAACTGCCTGACTGGTGCGGTACCTATCTAAAATAAGTACATACTAACCTGTTTAGTAAGTTGATATTGTAATTTCTCTAACTGACCTAGTCTGTTGATAAAATCTTGGTTTAACTGTTGACTATGTGAATTCAGGTGTTGTTGAGAAGTTAATGGAGCAGATGTGTAATGGTGGCTGATCACAGTTGGGTTAACAGGAGTAGTAATATGGTGATTTGTAATAGATGATGATGGATTTGGTGCTGAAGTAATTCCTGAAATGTAAAGCTGGTTCTTTACCATTATGCCTCAAGGTTAATCCAACCGAAAAAAAAGAAGCAAACTCAAAAAGTATATCTTGAAACTATATATTGGAACTAAACATGAGAATATTAATAGCGCTGTGGATATGAAGAATTAAGACTTCCACAGCAAATAATAATTATTAATTGCAAACACACGAAACATTTCAATTCTAAAGAGTATTTTTATGGAATTTTGAAATAAAGTTATCATCTTGAAAAGCCATTTACTGTACTGTTAAAAAAAATAAGAATTTGTTTGTTGTGGCAGAATTCACTAGAAAAATACAGCAAGCTAACACTTATGTTACCCTAGGACTTTGTTTATTGTTTTGCCTCTTTCAAAGAGTTCAAAAAGCTAAACACATCTACACTTGCCTGCTTTTTTCAACTCTCCTCTAAGTCTATTACCAACTTCTATTAATTGTTGTTTCTCTCTAGCTAAAGTAGCAATATGTTTAACTGCTTTCTTTAATTTAGACTGTAACTCTTGGATAGCCGGCGTAGAAGATTTTCCATCGCTGGTATTAAGATTATCCACCAGATTGAGATTAGCTATGTTAATCTCCTGTTGTTTTAATCTCATAATCTCATCTTGTAACTGTTGGATTAGCAATTCCTGAAATAAATTTAGTTATTTAAAAAAATCTGCTTCACTTTAAAGAAATTTAGAAAAGGCTTGCAGTTCTTGTTGATAAAATTGATAAATTACCTGAGCTCCTAGATTAATAGCTGGTCTTGATTCTGCCATTTCTATTTTTAATGCTGATAACTGAAATATAAAACAGATTCAGTTATCTGTCATTTGAAATGTAGATTTACCACTTTTCTTTGAATTTATCAGGTAGAAAATATGTCTAATAAATGTTTTCTTCCATTCTGATAGATTAGCTATTTAGCTCAGTATTAGTTATAAAAGATCTTCATTGAACAATGGACTACCTGTTTAGACTTACACAGACAAATAAGTCAGGTGTCAGTGGAATAGCTGAAACAGTAGTGAGTTGGATTGTTGTCTGCTAGACTATTAGGTGCAGTGGGTTCATCCTCAAAAGTAAGCAAATATTAAGGAGAGGATACTATAGGTGAAAGCCTGTTCCCTAATCCTATTATGTAAATAAATATTGTTTATATAAAAAAAAAGTAAGCAAATTTGGATGCAATGGGAATAACTCATGAGAGTCTACATAGTGTCGACATTCATTCTGCAATATCTAATTATCTTCTCAACAATTGACACAAAGTAGTCCATGTTTCACAAATAAATAAACCAAGGATAGTGTGATACAGATCCAAACCACAAAACGGAATCCAAAACAACATATTGGTAAAAAAATGGACACAGATAATGAACTTTTCACATGATGAAGTATCATAAGTGAGTAAGTCTGTCATAATGAAAAGTGATATCAGGTGTCTAGAAGAGTAAGCATACCCTGCCTGGTGCCTTAGATATATTGGAATATTAAAAATAACTCAAGATCCTCACCTGATTACCTAATGCAGTCACCTCCATATTTCTTTCTAAACTTCCTCTATAGTATTCATCAGCTTCTTTCCTAGTTTCTATCAGTTGTAATTCTAGTTCAGATAGTCGTTGTTTATAACTAGCTGTTTCTGCCTCGTGTCGTCGTTTAGTTGTATTCAGTTGATAATGTAGTTGATCTATCTCAATCTGTTTTTGTCTAGGCTGCAATAATTAGTTAACATCATTGACACAAGCTCATCCCATGCTGTTAGCCACGTTTTTCAATATTAGTATTTCATGATCAAAGTATACAAACAGGATCAAGTTGTGTCCAATGAACACTTTTGACTCAAATCTTATTGACAAGCTGCTGACACATGTTTATTTAGATATAAGATTTTCATCAGCTGATATTGAAAAAGGAATTTTGAATCTGTAAGTGAAAAAAAAAGTAAGTTGCACGAGGTTTAGATATAGATAAATATGCGTTTATGTTTCAAGGCAGTAAATTATCTTTACCTCCTGTGATAGTTTATCTGTTGAGGTTTCTAAATAATATAATCTAGCTTGTAATTTTCTACATTGTGCATTTAATTCTGTCTTTTCACTTTTAAGTATTCCTAGAAATAGACAATTATCCATCATTTTACAATACAAAAATTAATAAACATGTTAACAATCAATTTGATTATATGTTTTATAAAAATAATAAACACCTTCTATTTTCTGCACTTTACGGTACAATGAATCCAGAAGAAGGAATTTTTTAGTGTTTTCTCTTCAGGTTACATTTTAACCAATAATAATCTGACTTAAATTCTTCTTTAAATCATGATTAAGGAAATTTAGACTCATTGATTATCAAACTTTGATGCCATAGCTTCAAAAGTTGTAATAATTCATGCTAACCAATCAAAAACAATGACACTAGCTGGTTATGTTAAACACTAAATTTCTAGTCAGTAAATGTTCATTGGCTTAATATTTTAATGACCTAGTTTTTGTATTGAATAGTAATTTTGTTAGATCATGGATGGAAAGTAAAGTTCTCAAAAAATAAAAAAAATAACTAGCAAGATTTATCAAAACTACTTACCAATTTGTTCATTTAAAGATACTATATGATCTCTAACTATGATGTTATCTTTAACTTCAGATGGTATAATATCTTTATTAATATCAGATATTAGTTTCTGATCTTCTTTACATTCTCTTCCTCTAATCTTCTCTTTTAAACTCTTAATTTCATTCTCTAAACTTTCTATATAATCTGAAAAGTTTCAAATGAAGTAGAGGTTTACACCCTGCATTTTCACGTTTCTGGAAATCTAAGCTATTTTTCATTTATCCTCACTTTGCAAAATGTTAATTTGAAATCTGGTTTGTCTTCAATTAAAGAAGATGGTGAGTAGTAGTAAATGGTTCTTAAATTCTTACATATAGTTATAACAAATGATATTATAATAACTGACAAGTGATACAGCTGCCTAGAATTGAGCTGTACACAGAGTGTACTTACCATTGTCAGCATTGACAAGATTTGGTGATGAATTATGACCTGCTGAACTTTGACCTATAGATTCCATTTGTTGTCTCATCTGTGATATGACATTACGTAAGTTACGATTTTGTTCTTGTATTTTCTTAATATCTTCAGAATTAGCACTTTCTATCTGAAACCAAAAAATAAATTCAAATGTATTCATCAGCCTAGTATCTTTAAGTCCAAAATTCTTCATCGTATTCAGGCTCAACTTGAATAAGTTCTGTAGGATGTCACTGGCAAAGCAGTTCATGCTCACTCTTTTGAAGTTTCATATGCTTCTCAGTAACTATTATTGCTATTTTGTTACAATTTAATATTTAATACAATGTTCTTATCTCACCTAAATGCTTGGATGAGAATAACATTCACTATTGATACATTTATATATACTCAAATTTGAATATGAAGTTTTAAAGATTAATGGTTCATATATAATATTCCTCCAAAAATGAACACAAAAACGACAAAAAATAAAAGTGAAAAGAAGCATGGAGAAACGTCTCTTCTTACATGAACTACTACAGATTTATCTAATGGTATGCCATGTTTTTTCAGCGTTGCCATGACGATGTCTCTATCTCTTTCAACTATCTTTAATAATCTTTCTTGTTCTTCTAATGTTCTTGTATTTTCTTTTACTGTAGCCATGGCCTAAAATTACATTAAAATTCTAAAACTCAAGAAATTTGTTTTCAATGTCTTTTAAATCAAGCATGTTAAAATTTGACCTATTTGTAACATTACCCCTTGCTCCAGAACAATTCTTGAATGGCCCAAATTTTACTGGTAAGTTGAGTCTACATTACCTCATCTCTGGCAGCAATCACTTTCCTGATAAAATCTTCTGATTTTTCATATTGAACTCGTTCTGTGTCTTCATATCTATTCTGCCAGTCGAGTTCCAACTGAGTTTTACTTCTCTCTAACGCTGACTCTCTCTCAGCAGCTAATGTCAGTTCCTTTTTATACCTCTCAATATCTTGTTTTTTCTGCAGTATTTCCGCTTTTAATTTACTGTCGTTTTCTCGTAAACAATGTACTTCTAGATCTCGAGAGACTTGACTTCGTGACATGTCAGATATACTCTTATCCCATTTATCTTGTAACTCTTTCAATTCTTCTTTTAACCTTCATGAAATAGACAATCAATTTAAAGAGATTGTTAAGAAGTTTTCTAAATTATTTATGTGTATCGGGGACACTGATACATCAATTCACACCAATCCAATTTTCAATCAGACATCTGTGGTACCTGCAATTCCACAAGTGTTTGATGATGTCACTAATTACAAAATATGCTTTATAACATAAAGCGCATGGCTATAAATCAGATCATAAACTATTAGTTTTATCAGAGTTGCAGGAACCACAGACATCTGATTGAAAATTGGAATGGTGCAAACTGATTCTATCATTACATCCTGAAACATATAAAGAATTTAGAAAGCAGTTGTATAAGATGGCTTCAAAGAAACAAAAGTTGTTCTAAAAAATAAAAAAATAAAAATATAAAATACTTACTTGATAGTTTGTATATCTTTTTCTTTATTTAAATCTGTATTAGTCCATTGTAACTGTCGAATGTCTATTTCAGCTGTTTCTAATTTAGTTTGTAAGTCACGTATAGTGTTAGTTAGTGTTTGTTCACGTTCTAAATAAGAATCTTTTACTTTACTTAATGCTTCTTCTCTTTCTCGTAAACATTTATCCATTTCTGAATACCTGAAATTTAAAACAAAAACTCAAAACTTGTTGTTAAAATAAAACATTATGTACACTGAAAACAGTTTTCTCCTCGGCCTGTGTTTTCAAATTTTCAATTAAATATTGTTTTTACAGCCACTGGCATCTGAATACCAAAGTCATACTGGTATATGAAAGACGCTTTAACAACCTCTGATATTTTTGCTGGGCTAGTTGTATGACCTAACAAATAATTAACAAATAGTTTCTTAATAATATAATAATCCTACTTTCTTTGATAATCTTCTTCAGCTCTCTTCATTAAACTTTCAAATTGCTTCATCTCAATCTCCATTTCATTTATTCTACAATTGAGAATCAAAAACAGCTATATTTCACAATTAAATAGTACAAGTTAGCCATCAATTTTTCCCAACTGCCAACACCAGTTCCAGATATAAAACCCTCATCAGGACAGCTAGTTTCTGAAATAGGGGTTAACATTACAACATTGGACATTTTACAAAATTTGAGAAACTTACTTGGCATCAGCCATAGCTTTATTATCAGTTATCTCCCATTCTTTCTCTTTAAGTTTTTTCTCCAACTGACGTGTGGTATGTTCTGATTCATTATATTCAGCTGTAACTTGTTTCTGATTAGCTTTCAGGAATTCTAATTCCTTGGATAACATTTTAGCCTAAAATATAAATGCAAGACAATTTTTGATCCTACTTGTCTTCCAATGTTACTTACTCTATGGAGACTTTAATTTTTTTGTTATTAATGGGCTAGTTAAGTGTGAATTGTGCAGTCTGCAATGAGAAGAATTTTGCATTTGCAGGTACATAAGTTTCCAGCTAATGAGGGATACTTTACATGAAAAGCCTGTCACACACACAGTTTATTGTCATCACCTCCTACCTGTATCATTGACAGCCAGAAAACCTGGCCATGTATTCTCGAAGTGATCTTAGCGCTAGGATGTCCTAGGTTCTTATCTTCTAACATTGATTTGAGATCCTAGTGCTAAGATCGTTTCAAGAATACATGACCTGGTTGATATAAAGGCAAGTTTATCTTACATATGCTGGGATTGAACTCTTTATCCCAAATATAGTGAACAGATTCTCACAGAGTAAACCACTAAAAACTCTTCCTCCAACCACCTTAAAGATGATGATACCATTAACTTGCAAATAATGAAAGTAAAGGTTAGTTATGATACACATCACACAATAACCATAGGCTTGGCAACCTACCTTTAATTCATATTCTAAAACTTTAGCACTCATTTCATCCACTTTCAGTCGAAATTCATGTTCCTTCTTCTTCATAGCTTCTTCAAAACCTAATCAGAAAAGAAAATTTCCTTAAAAACTGGATAGAAAGGTCTGATAATAAGCTTTCATAAGAAACCACCATTTGATACTAAGTAAATGACATCATTTCAAGGCTCTAGAGCACCAATAGCTATGTAAGTCCTGTACAAACCTGCATTCAACTCTCTTTTCTGGGCATCTAATTCTCCTTCAACTTCTTTCACTTTTTCTTGTAGATTTCTTTTAAATTCTTCAAAATGTTTTCTTTCTTCACTCACTTCCGAATCTTTATTACTGAAAAATAAACAACACTTATGCTAAATAAGTCACCCCTGTCGCGTTTATTATACGCCCACATTATAATGTGGCTTTAAATAAGAACAGCTTCTGCCAAATTACCTATTTATTCCTCCAATGTTTCCTAAGGTTGTCCAAAACCAACACATTATAATGTGGGCATATAAAAAGGAAAGATCAATTATGCAATATACAACACTATGATCCATGAATATCATCTTATTAAATATAATTCTATTTTCCTGTATATTTTCTGCTAGACAATCACTATTACTAATATAGCACAAATAAACTTGAGGTCATTTTTGTTTGCCTTAACATGTATGAGATCCTATTCACTGTCTGTGGTTCCTGAAAAATTCTTGACCAGATTGACTTAACTATTTCAATAATAAACACATTGCACATGCAGACATTTCCGATAGCCCTCAAATAATGATGATGATACATTTTATTAAATTGTAGATGAACAGGATAACAGATTTAACACTAAAAAGTGATACAGATAGCTTGAAATGACACTTATTCCATTTTCCATATAATGGTTACCTTCTAAATGTATCAATTTCTTGTTGTTTTTCTTTCAATCTGTGTTGATAATGTAATTGTAGCTCTTCTCGACCCTTTTCTTCTTGTCTAATTCTAGTTCGTAACTCATCTAATAAAATCTTACTTTCACTCAATTCAGAATTCTTAGTGTTTAACTTTGTTTTATAATCTACAAATAATTACAAAGAACATTATGGGTTAGTTACAGGAACATTATTTTATTTTGGCTTACAAAGTTGGTTACTAAACATGTCATATATGATCTAAAGAAATTCTTGTTTATATAAGGTTCACTTGCATTTGACTTAGTGACATTTCATTGTGCTTAAATAGTTTTCTGACCAAGAAACATACATTTCTTAGATCTTCCCTCAACTTTCATGATCCCTAGAACTGTTCTCCAGCTAGAACATTAAGGTCACATTCAAACTTTTTTGCTTTTGACAAACTATCTTGTTCTTCAGACTTATACTTGGAAAATCATCCCAAAATGTTGCAGTGCAAACTACCGGTAGACTAAAAAAGTATTCACTTCCAAAGATTAAGCTGAAGTATAAGTAAATAACCTGTAAAAACAGCATCATATCTCTCTAACTCTTGATCTCTTTCTTGTAACAACTTTAAATTATATTTAAAATCGTCTTTTAATTTCTCAAACTTCTTCTTTTCTTCATTTAATTTTTTATCATTCTGTTTACATGATGTCTCTAGTGATTCAATTCTATAAAAGAGAATATGAAATACTAATCCATATCAACCAGGGTATATCAGCTGTCAAAATAGTACCCCAGTTATCGGCCTCGGGGTTAACAATGTTGATTTAATCTGGCAGTCTAAGGAAAAGGATCGAATACAAGGGGTTTACTACATTTACAATTGACAGGCTTGTGATATACGCTGTGAACTGAACTTTATATTATATCTTTTTCCTGGCCATAGACTGCCTTGTAAATCTTATTGTTTAATCCAAGACAGAAATAGGGAATGAGCTTGTTTCGAGCTGGTTTATTGCAACTTAATAATTTAATGTCACTACTACATCTAGTTCAAAACCAAGTTTTATAGATGGAAATGTATACTATAATGCCAAACCGTAATTGAGTGAACTGTTTCCATTCTTTTTCCTTTTGTTCTGCTAATTCTTTCCAGGAATTGTGATCTTGAGATTCCATTTCATTTATCAGACAGCCTACAAAACCAGTCCATTAATAACACAATACAGATGATATTTAAAAGAAATGGAACTACACTTAGCCCAACTATACAATATGTAATTGTACAAGAGTGTCTGCCATGCCATCATAATGTCAAAAGCCATAAAGTAATTCATCAAATAGTGTTGTCAATGTAAACAACAGACATTGCAAATTTTACATTACAAAAACTAGAAACAATGACAACTTTTTCAATGGATACATTCATTTCAAAGACAGGCATTAGAAGAAAATATGCTTACCTACTTTTATCAAAATTCTGCAAACTGTAAATTTGAATTCCTCGGACAATGTGGAAATTACTAAGAAATAAACATGAAGAGGCAAGAAAACGACGCCATGACAGTTTAGTATCAGCGGTGGTTGTCGTAAAAATATGAAATTGACGAATGTTCATCTTGTATAAAAGCACCCCATTTCTTTGCAGAAAACCAAAGAAACGGAAAAAAGTTGATAAACGATACTACTACAGTTTTACAAGATAAATTGTAGAAAGTTCCAAAAAAACTTTCTTATGTCGTTATCAGAGCTTTACTTTTGGCATACAGCATGAAAAAAAAATTATGAAAATGTAAACAGAAAGATAACAAAAGTTTTATGGTGGTTATGTTTATGATGTTTGTTATGATTTTTCGCCTTGAGAGGTTCATAGAGAAATGTACTATTGTCATGTCATTCAGTTAACCCTCTTGGTTTGGAATACAAGTGGCATTGTCCAGGATTGTTTGATTTTAATTTTGACAACAAACTCACTTAAATTCAAATCAAAATCACACTATCCTGAAAGATCAAACCTGCAGTTCATATATCATTCTTTAAACGGCAGGGTGTGGAGAAATTTTATTGTCTCAGTCTTTACTCTCTAACAACAATAGCTTAATGTGAAAGCTTACTTGATATTCTTTCATTTTATTTCAGTTTAGTACCAAAATTTGAAGATGACAGAAAAGATTATTCAAGATTGTTGTAATGGGCTGAATGTTATTTCTATTAAAGATATTAAAGACCAACTCAACTCATCTTTAGAATTAATATCCAGTCCGTCCATTACTTTGAAAACTGTGAAAAAATGCATTGAAAAGGAATCATCATCAAATGAAAATGGCCATATTTTTTCCAGTGACATCACTTGATTTGACATCACAGTCTATTGAAATATTTCCTAAAAGTGCTTTAAGTCACAAGAACTCATTGACTTGTCTTTTGTTAGACTACAATAATTTGTTGGAACTTTCAGATAGCATCAAAGAATTAAAATGCCTGGAAATATTTTCCTTAAATGGTAACAGCATATCATCATTACCGAGTGCCATTGAATCTTTGGAGAACTTACAGGAATTTCATCTAAATGAAAATGATCTCACTGAGCTACCAGAAACATTTGGAAACTTGCGGAACTTAAAAAAATTATATTTAACTGGAAATTCTATAAAGACATTACCTGAGACTTTTTGCAAACTTGCATCACTTGAAGAATTAGTCATAGAAGAAAATGGGCTTTCAAGTTTGTCAGAAAATTTTGGTGAACTGTATAAGTTAAAATCTCTACAAGCCAATGATAACAAGCTCTTTAGTTTACCATCCACGTTCGGCAAGTTAAGAAGTTTGGAAAATTTAGATTTGAGTAATAATCAAGTGATAAAATTTCCAGATTATTTTGGAGATCTGAGAAATGTCACTTATTTAGATCTTTCCAAAAACTGTTTAGAAGAATTGCCGCCATATTTTAAATCTTGTGTCAAACTGAAAAAACTGTACTTAGACTATAATTCCATTAACTCTCTTCCACCGTGGATATCTTGCATGCCTGAAATTATTGAGTTTTCCATAATTGATAACAAACTCGTGCATAAAGAACTCACCGAAGAGTTTGCACTCAGATCTTCCAAGATTAAAAAACTAGACTTAGGTGGAAATTTCCTCAATGATTTGCCTGAATCATTTGGTGAAATGAAGTGTTTAGAATTTGTGAGAATTGGTAGTGTTTTGCATTATTTGGAAAGGAGAAATTTTCAAAATGGAAATTGGATTACAGCTATTCCTACAAGTTTTGGAAGGTTAAGATTGCTGAAAGAAGTATTTTTAGATGAAAATCAAATTTATGAATTGCCTGAAGAATTTGGTGGGTTAGTTAGTATGGAAATGCTGGATTTAGGTAAAAAGATATTTTTTGGCTGGTTTATGTCCACTATAACTCTGCTTTAGTATTTTACTAAATTGTCATAACTTTACAATAACAATAGACAATGACTATGGGCAATACCATGCAGTGTGCATTGAGGGTAACTGGATAGCAGCATATTATAACAATCAACTACTTGGGATATTTACCAACCTGCACATCCTATAGCACACATAGAAAATACCATTGCTTGAAATTATGGCTTAAATTTGCAAAAATTAGATCATTAAATTAATATCCTTGTATTTAGCTGGTCAAGGTTCTGGCATGTTGATTTTGTTATTACATGAACCCAACAAATTTCATGAAATAATGATCAGGTTTTTATGTGTGCACCAGAATGACCGAATTTTTGTAAATTTCATTTTTACAGGCCAGAACCACTTGCATGAGTTACCAGAATCTTTTGGTAATTTGAAGTCATTACGAGTGTGTTTATTATCTAAAAATAAATTACAATTACTACCTAGTACTATTGGTCAACTATCATCATTAGAAGATTTAAGACTGGATAATAATCATGTATGTTGTTTATTTGAATTTTAAGTTTTAAAGTTTTCATCGTTGTTGAAAAAGGGGCCAACTTTCAGATTTCATGGAGTTTTGCTAAAAAGTAGCAAAGATAATGTCCCCTCGCAGCTGCAGGTCTTAAAGTGTAAAGAAAAATTGTGGAAAATGTTATTTTGATGATTGATATTTTGAAGCCAGTTTGATAATTTTTGTTCACATCTGTGTGTTCAGCACTTTTTGAGTAAAAAGGATTAGCTTTGCAAAGTTGATGAAATATGATTGTTTTTCTAGATTGCTGAATTACCTGAATCATTTAAAGATTTAACTCAGTTAAAAACATTAGATCTGTTTAATAACCAACTTACAAAAGTACCAGCTTGTCTTAAACAGTTTACACAGTTAGTTAGATTAGATATAGATGAAGTAAGTATTAATTATTTCTCTTTTTAGAGGAATGCTCTATTTTTCTGGCCATTAGTATTTTTTTCATTTTCAAATAAAACCTTTTAATATCTAGTTTTAGGAATGAAAAGATTTCTGTATGGGAAATGACTTTCAAAGCATCTTAAAATGGTTAAATCTCCCCCTATACCTTACATGAGAGTCTGTGGCCCTTTTAACCTTCAGCTGATATTTTCCATTTCCTCTATTTTTTTCGTTCCCCACTCGGATTCCTGATTATTACAGAAGTGTCCTGTGGCCAATTTTTATAAAGAAGCATACTTATTCCAAAATAGTGTCTTGTGTTTGTGACAGAAAAGAGAGAATTAAAAATTTTCATTTTTACTTCAGAATAAGATAGATAAAGATAGATCTGAAATACCATCTATAGTACGTAATACAAGATATGCTCCACGAGACCCAGCTTTAAAAGATAACTGGCGAGGTAAAAGAAGGGAAGATTTAAGAGAGATAGATCAAACAGTGAGTTGATTGGATGATATTTTTTCTGTTTTCCCAATGTAGTTATGTAACAACAGGCTTTGACACCCATGGGCTACAGCTACCCATGTTTACCAGCTGATAGAGCTCACTTTCTTTTCAATCTGATTCAAAAATGATGGTTCTTCTACAAATCAACAAAAATAAACAAAAGTGTAAACTTTCACTGCATGTTTTGTCATCGTGTCACGACATCCAATTTGTTGGAAAAAATAAAGATCGCAAAAATTTTGCAAATTTTTAGGTAACAGTTTCCAGTATCCTTATGTTGAAAATATATTCTTTATTTTACAGGAGACTAACAGAAATACAGTAAAACTAGCAGTAGAAAATAATCAATCTATATGGAGAAAACATGGTGATGATCAAACATCAAGACCAAAATTTGAACGACCTCCTGATAGAAATGGTTTCCGTATACCATTATTTACAAGTGATTCTTTACCTTCTGAGTCTGACGATGATATCAAGGGAGGTAAGGAATTTGAATTAGAATTGTACATGAATTAGATTCTTGAGGATCCTTTCTACTAGCTGCTGAATGACCAAACCTTTTATGAAGGATAGTAAATATTTGCAAATCAATCATGGTACAAATCCAAATCCAAAATGTTGCTACCCAGATGATGTGTACTAATTTGTAGCTGGTTTGAATGAGGAAAGATGGCAGACTTTCACACTCAGACTGAAGCTAAAAGTCACAATGTAACCCACAGAAATTAATATTTGAAGCTGTATTTTTGTCTGAAAGAATGAAATATTTTCTGCTAAACTTTTATTTGTTTCTGCTGACATTTTCAGGGTCATCAAGTGAAATGACTCCAGATGAAGAATATGAAACAGATGTTGAACAGTCTTCAAATAAAACAAATAGTGTTGCAGGAAGTACTGCTGGGAGCGTGACAGGAAGTGGACACGTAACCATAGAAGAAAATTGGGATGATGAACTGGATGATGGAGAAGGACAATTTGGTGAGTCTTAATTTTTTTTAATATAAACACGCCACCCTTTAAGAAATTGTCTAAAATTACTCTACCTCCATTTTTATTTTGGTTTGAATTTTCCCAAGTCAAGAGAAAAGTCAGCTATGTCCCTTTCCATCTACAGACATTTTTGAAAGAAAACAATTAATTTTTGGATAGTTTTTGTCTTCAGGGCTTTTGTGCTTCAGGTTTTCCAAATAAATCAAGGAATAGGTCAACAATGCTGTATTCCAAGTTTGTACATGTTATCCTCCTCTTGAAAAAAGCAGACGACACTGGTCGGCCATTTTGAAATATTTTTTTTTACAGATTTAGATGGACAAAAAGAATACTACCTCCCTCCTGAAGAGTACCAATATCAAAGAGAAAACAGACCTTTTTTATGTCTACCCTATACATTACATGAACCTAGTGTATCACGTTCATTAAATCACTATAAATCAGTTATAGGACAATTTGATGATGCAGATTAGTCTAACTCATGTACTTGTAGTTGTATGATTTTATCTCAGGGTCTTTTCCTACATACATATTTGGCTTTGTTTATAGTCTGGTCATCTGGTGCCTAATAATCTTTACTTATTAATCCAGTCGACCAGTCCGTAAATAAGTCTGGATAACCCTTTTCATCTGCTTGTTTGCAGACGACTGTTACCTCTAGCAGGTATTCTCAACTTTTAAAGAGATCTACTTATTTGCTTCATCAGCTTGATTTAATGTGTCTTTAGAATTATAATCTGACATCTAGTTCATTTACGATTAAATGAAAATAGTGACTATAGTTCAGTTTTCACCCTTGCAACATAAATTTAATTCTTCATTCAGAAAAGTGATAAAATAAGAACATAATAGAGTCAAAATAGAGTCACAATTTCAGTTCTGTCATCTGTTAGTCGAATGCATTGAAAGAATATAGAAACAGGATTAATATTTAAAGTTTGTCTATCCATTAACATTTAGTGTTGTTATACTATTTACATTTACATGTATTCTGTGCTTGTGTATTTTGGTGTTTTATATTGCATGAAGTATGTTAAAGCCATTTTCAAAAATGGAATTTATTTTATGATTGTTGTCTTAAAGGGACATAATTTTCAGAAAGCAAATTAATTTTAATGGGAAAGGTGCACCATTTTCTTAACCAATCATGCCTTAATCTCAGAAATGTCAATTTTTCATCTTTTCTTGAGACCCAGCCAAATATAGAAAAGACAAGTGAAATTGCTAGTTTGAGGTATTTTTGAATTTCTAGTATCTCTGAAGATTATTTACATATATTTAAGACCCAAATCAACCCCCAAAAGTGGCTGTACTTATATTATTTGAATTATTATAGTTCCTACTATGTAATGCTCATGATCATTTTTAAAAATGTTAATGATTTTGACTGTTAATTCTGATAAATGATGATGAATTTGATTTGTTTTTAGTGAATACTCATAATGATTTTGATATGCCTTATGATTAAGTGAAATATGATAATGATTTTGATATGATTAAGTGAAATATGATAATGATTTTGATGTGATTAAGTGAAAATTGATAATGATTTTGATATGATTAAGTGAAAAATGATAATGATTTTGATGTGAAAAATGATAATGATTTTGATATGATTAAGTGTTTGATATGATTAAGTGAAAAATGATAATGATTTTGATATTATTAAGTGAAATATGATAATGATTTTGATATTATTAAGTGAAAATGATAATAATTTTGATATGATTTAGTGAAATATGATAATGATTTTGATATGGTTAAGTGAAAAATGATAATGATTTTTTATTATGTTTTAGTGACAGATTTTGATACTTAATTTAATTGATAATAATGATTTTAATATGCTGAATGGCATGTTTTAATAATAAAAAGGATAATGATGTTGATATGTCTATGTTAAAAATGATAATTATTTTGATATGTCTATGTTAAAAATGATAATTATTTTAAAATAGTATGTTGTTAAAAGATTTATGTTTTAATTTATTGTATGGATGTGTGTGTTCAAATTATTTTTTGTTTATTTTGTTTCTGATGTAGTTTATTTGTATTTCTTATAAGATCTCTCCAATTTCACTCAACGAAACACCTCCTGATTTAGTTTAGATGTCTAATAGTGTATTCAATCTACTCTACTGTTGTTTGCTTTACTCAATTACTGTCCTTAATTTGCGCAACAAGTTAAGGGAGTATTATGTTTTTCTGTAGGTTGAAAAAATTTTTTGTCCAAATTTATGAAATTTATACACCAAAATTTCGAGTCATGTGTCCTTTAACATATCTGAGAGTTTGAACTAAAAAAATCCAGCAGTTAATTTTTAAACTCAAAAACTATTTAAAAAAGTTTATATAAAAATTTTATAAACTGCCATTTTCAGTTTTCTAATTAATGGAAAATATGACTAAATTGTAGCTGAAGGGTTTTTCCATATTAGTGAAAAATAGCCTATAGTCTTCATAAGAATCTGAAACAGTGTTGATTTAAGTTGTTTGTAAATTATATGGCAGTGGAAAGTGATTATAGAATTATTTTATTTCTATACAGGGATTGTATATGAAACTTTATTACTATGTGAATTAATTTATCATATTGAATTAAATATTATTTTGATTATTTATTATTTGATTGATTAGTTGTAATATTTTGATTTGTTATTTATGAGTTGATATTATTTGATTTCACATTAATACAGAAAATGTTGGAATTCATTTTTTTTTAGTTTTTTTTTCTAGGCCAGTTTTTTTATTTTATCAAAAGTTTAACCATGACAAAATCAAAATCTTAAAAAAATTTTTTAGGGTAATAAGTTTTATTAAATCATTTAAACTTATTAAACAAATGTCAATTTGAAAAATTATTCAAGTCGATTTCGATTTCATTCTTAAAAGTGATACAGATTGTTAAAACCGCTGGAGATTTTAATAATCCATCAATTGACAACTTCACATGAACTGCGTTTAATATTTGATTTTGCTCAAGTCTTATTTTATCAATGTATGAATTATTTGGCTATTGGCAAGTTTTTTAAAGCTGATTTATGACAACTCTATGATTGGTGTAAAATTATTTTTCTTGTTGAAAATTGTTAAAATTTATTCATACTGAACACACAAAGTTTCATATTATGAATTCTAGATCATGTTCAATTTTACAATGAAAATTCATTCCCTTATTTTTGTTTTTTCTCAGTTGTCTAATGGAATTATATATTAGAAAGTATATCATCATTGTCTTAACTATAGTTGCTTTTGATGTCCATTGTAATTCGTAATTTATTTCTAAATTACATATATGTAATAATTTCCATCATCAAACTGAAGAATGTTCAAGAGGGATGTTGTTAGACCCTAATTAAAGTGGCTAAATAAGCCAATTCGGTATTATGTGTGTGCATGCACAACATGCTAATTCCCTTCTTCTTCCTCGCGATAAGAAACGTCAATTTAAAACAATAGTCAGACATGTGATATATACCTTGAACTGACAAAACTTGCTTAAGACAACATTCTAAATGATAAATTGATATCTGTCAATGTTGTTAACACTTTATATGACATTCCATGTTAAATCAACATTATGCATGCTAACGCATAATACCGAATTGGCTAATTGAAAATTTGGTTTAATTTCAATTAAACCGAATATGTTGTTTGTATTTATGATTGGAAATTTATGTCTAGTTGAGACAAGATATTTGTGCATACCCAAGTCCAATTCAAAGCATTACGAGAAGTTTATATTTTTAGGTAATGTAAGTAGAATGGTTGTCTGTTAGTTTTGAATTGAACTTGAAAATGTATTAGAATCTTGGCTCAATTATAGTTGTCTATATAAGGTGTATATATATGATGTAATTAACATATTTCAATGTTTTGTTATTCATGTCCAAATTCTCCACCAAATTACTTTTTTAATAAAAAGATTTGTTAAAATAAAAAACAGTTTGCTTATAACCTTGTTTTTATGCCTTTAGCTGTTCAATGCCCATTCCTTTTCAGTGAATTTTTCTGTGGTGGACTTTATTAGTCATCCATAATCAGTCAAAATTATTTTGCAACATATGTTCAATTTCATTAAAATATTCAACCAATCATATTCACTCTCTCTAACGAAAGACTTTCCTTACATGTAAGAAACTCTGGGATAAAATTGATTTGTTTCAGGTTTAACACTGCTTTTGATTGGTTGTATAACATTTTTTAATCAAAAACGATTTAAAGAAGAATGTTATGAGATCATAGGTACAAATGGAGTCTGACATAGAATATTTGATTCTTTCTGGATTGAAATTCAACTGAACACAATTTTAAGCAGAATTTTGTCAGATCATGGATGCAAGTGGGGTACATACACATTAAACAAGACACGAAATTAAACATCTTGATCTGAATATTAAAGTGATACTACGTCTTAGAATGGACATAGAATTTAAGTTCTCGAAAAGGTCAATATTAGTCTTTATTCATCAGTTAGCTTACCTGGTATCATAAAGCTACAGCAGAATCCCTGTATAATCTGGATAATTGGAAAATTCATAAAATAAGTAATTGTTGAAAAATGCTTAATCGTGATATTAAGCGTTTTCCAATAGTTAATTTGCATATTTATGGATAATTACTAAGTTTTTTGGATTTATCGGATTATATTAAGGATGCTGTTATGTTATTTATGATACCAGGTATATCTACTGGCTCTTACTTGCCAAGTTTAAAATTCTTAAATTTCATGTTAATTCTAAGACGTGGTATCACTTTAATAAGATAAATATGGCCTGTTTTCTTCTGCTCAAAGTTAGAGAAATAAACACTACAACATTTAACTATCTCTGACTCAGTTTGAAATGGTATTTTATATATGCATATATATTCTTGTACATCACTTGAATGATATTTCTTGTAAAGGCCCCATTAAGGTAAATAATTAAAACCAAATGTCTTAAAACAAAACTTATCTTGTGTATCTGAAAACTTATTCAAGTGAAACCTAAATGCTTTTGAAACCTGTTTTCATAGTTTATATTTCAATAATTTATATTCAGTCTTTTGTTTTAGTTTTGTCAAGTGATACATTTAATAACTTACAAAACAGGAATCCATTCTTTGTTTAGTCTTGTAACCTAGCAACATCAAAATTCTTTCTAATATACCAGACAGTTCTCTCTGTGCTCAGTATTATGTTTTTCGTCTGTTAGTAAGCATAAGTTAATTTGTTTCCTCGGCAAGAATCTGACAGCTCAAAAATGAGAGAAATCGTACATTTACAAGTTGGACAATGTGGTAACCAAATTGGTGCAAAGGTAAGTTAATTTTTTTGTTGATTGAAATAACCTTTTGAAAAGCAGTGACACATCTAATTTATGATATAATTAAATATAGTCCCAATCAACATGATAAAATGTTAAAGAAAAATTATGCTCTAGTGGGCCTATATTATGTATTTCAAGTTACATTATGTATTTGAATTTGTTAAAGAATTTTTCTTTACTCGTGCTCTTGAAAATGAGATATAAGTTTTGAGTCATTGTATTATGGAATATCTTGGTGCTTCTGTTAACTGTTTTTGCTCAAATGAATCAAAAACTAAATTAGAAAGTCAACACTTTCTAAAAAAACTGCCCTGATGAGGATTTTATATCTCAAATATCAGCAACATGAGATGAGTTTTGTCAATTAGAGATGGGCTTAAAATCACTCTAGTATATTGAAAGTTCTTTTGGACTTCTTGCTTGTGTTTAGCAAGTCGTAAGCATACTTTGCTCTTAAGCTTAAAGTACTATATTACTATTAGTATGTCAACACTTTGTACAAAACTATCCGCCCTGATGAAAGTATTATAACCGAAATATGAGATATGTGGTCATGTGGTGAAATCATCTCATAAAGGTGATGGAACTACATGTTTAATCATGAAGCTAAAGCTAATCTTGTTTTATAGCCCAATCATTTAATCATTGTTTGTAGTTTTGGGAAGTGATCTCTGATGAACATGGTATTGATCCTACTGGTAATTACCATGGTAATTCTGATCTTCAACTAGAGAGAATTGAAGTATATTATAGTGAAGCTATAGGTAGACCATTTTATACCCCTGTCTGTCTAAATTAAATTAGAAGTTTGGTACGCTGAACTAGGCCAATGAGAACAAGAATGTGTTCTGATGTGTCCCAATCTAATACAAATTCGTTTCTCTCTTATTTTTTTGATATTTTTCGTCTCTCTTCCAATCTAATAAGTTGAGATGGGTTGTAATGACAAAATTATTAACCAATCAAAATCAATCATTAGAATGGAAATTTTTGTAGAAGACGTGTTAGATTACAATGGTGACGAAAACTATATGAAAAATTTAACGTAGATGTCCTGTGGGCAGTCCTAATAAGATCCTACACACTCCCTGTTAATGTTTCTGAATATTTTATAAGTTCTAAGAAGAACCAAGTAAATCATTCTAAAGACCATTAGACTGGAAGAATATAGAATAATCAAAATAGAATAATAAATCAATCTAGAGCTATTAATCTTCACCTGAGATCTATAAAACGTTCCAGATGATTGACCTTCCTAATATGTTATTCATCTGAGGTGGACAACCTTAAATATTAAAACTTATTAATAGAAAATAAAAGGTCTTACATAATGTATCACTTGGGAACACTTAACACCGGTATTCTCAAGTTGGGCAGTACATCTTCAACTTGGTATTACCTTAGAAGCCTTCTTGAAAATCTGCTAAAATTAACTTTATATTATAATGATCTGTATACTAGGTGATTGTCAGCCATTCGTGGTTGAAATCTTAAAAAGTCTAGAATAACCCATCTATTGTTAATCCAAGATTGAGGTTTTAGTTTGTTTGCCCAAGAGCTGTGTGCTACATTTCACAATGGCTGTTGGGAAAATACATAATAAAATTTAGCAACTTTAAACATCTTCCTGCTTAACAGTCACATTACCACACATAAAACATTTTTTACTTTTTTATTCAGGAGGTAGATATGTACCAAGAGCTATTCTCATTGATCTGGAGCCTGGTACTATGGATTCTGTCAGATCAGGACCATTTGGGAGTATTTTTCAACCAAACAACTTTGTCTTTGGACAATCAGGTGCTGGTAACAACTGGGCAAAAGGACATTATACAGAGGGAGCTGAACTGGTAGATTCTGCATTAGATGTTGTTAGGAAAGAATGCGAGAACTGTGATTGTCTACAAGGATTCCAGATGACCCATTCTCTAGGTGGTGGAACTGGCTCTGGTATGGGAACACTTCTCATCAGTAAAATCAGAGAAGAGTATCCAGATAGGATCATGAACACCTTTTCAGTTGTACCTTCACCAAAAGTGAGTTCTACCGTTTTCATCAATAGTTACCCATTTTTATTTTCAATTTTCACTTTTGAGGAATCTTGAAGTTGTGCAGTCTCTGTCATCTGTTCAAACAACTGCATACCCTTTCTTCTCTGACCTGCACCATTGGCATGGGGAAACTGGGTTAATATAATCCATAGGTGCTCTTACAATGGCACAATTGAAGCCTAGACCTTTGGAACCATTGATCCTTGAATTGGTTGTGAAGCAAGCAAATGCATTGTGACCATATGGATATACTTATTAATGTCATTGGTATAATTTCAGGTATCTGATACTGTTGTTGAACCATACAACGCCACCCTGTCAGTTCATCAACTGGTTGAAAATACAGACGAGACTTTCTGTATAGATAACGAAGCTTTATATGATATCTGTTTCCGTACCCTAAAGCTAAGGAGTCCAACCTATGGTGATCTGAATCATTTGGTTTCAGCTACTATGTCTGGAGTGACCACCTGCCTCAGGTTCCCTGGTCAACTCAATGCTGATCTTCGTAAATTGGCTGTCAACATGATACCTTTCCCACGTCTGCATTTCTTTATGCCTGGGTTTGCTCCCCTTACAGCTAGAGGAAGTCAGAAATACCAAGCTCTCAGTGTACCAGAACTAACCCAACAGATGTTTGATGCTAAAAACATGATGGCTGCCTGTGATCCTCGACATGGACGTTATTTAACAGTTGCTGCCATGTTCAGAGGAAGAATGTCAATGAAAGAGGTGGATGAACAGATACTTAGCATCCAAAACAAGAACAGTAGCTACTTTGTTGAATGGATTCCCCACAATGTTAAAACTGCTGTTTGTGACATTCCACCAAGAGGTCTGAAGATGTCTTCAACATTTGTTGGAAACAGTACAGCTATTCAGGAGCTCTTTAAAAGAATCTCTGAACAATTCACTGCTATGTTCAGAAGAAAGGCTTTCCTCCATTGGTATACAGGAGAAGGTATGGATGAGATGGAGTTCACTGAAGCTGAATCTAATATGAATGATCTGGTATCTGAATATCAACAGTACCAGGATGCTACAGCTGAAGATGTTGATGATGAAGAAGAAGATGAAAGAAATCCTGATGAAGAGGCCTAAACATTTTGGATTTGAAGTAGCCGTTTTAGAATTTCAAATTGTTTTTTTATTAATCAACCTTACTTTTCAGCAAAAAAAAAAAAAATCATTTAAAAACTATCTTTGTGATTTATACAAATAAGACAACACACTTTTGCTGATCTAGAAATGTTTTACTCCTGGCTTGCTGCAATACCCTAATCTGTTGGAGAGAAGCAGAACATCATTTCATTTTTGTTCTCGAAAGTTAATGGATTGAAGAATGGACAGTAACCTGTTGATCATTTGGCAAGCCTCAACAGTTTCCGTAAAGCTGAATTTGTTGCAGAGTGCCAGCAGAACTTTCATTTTGACTGTAAGTTGATGTGTATAACATAAATATAACACTATTACAATATAACACTATTACAATATAACACTATTACAATATAACACTATTACAATATAACACTATTACAATATAACACTATTACAATATAATACTATTAATGCCATATCTTATATTATTCTGATTGTAAATTCTACTCAAATAAAAACGTCACATATATTTAAAACATTAATGCATAAATTCATTTTCAAGGGAAATCACTCTTATTGGCTCGTTGTTATAGACCCAAATTAGAACACAACCATTCACATTTTCCTAAAAATATGTGAAAACTAAGGAAACTAGAGTATGTTCTAATTAAAATACACGTAGTTAAAAATATTTCTATATTACTCTACCATTAATGTAATGAGCACTATTTTAACAGTGAATATATTTTATTATTGTACTTTTTGATAATATACATAATGTATTTCAATAAAATAGGCTAAAACAATAAACTTTATATCAACATTTTTCAATTGCTGATTCTCAAATTCATTAAGTTTTCAAAATTTTTATGTGTATCAGATCAGTAATCACAAAATATGTTTTATCACTTAAGACGCTTTGTGATTGGTGATGTCATCAAACACATAGTTTAAGTGGAATTGCAGGAACCACAGACGTCTGATAGAATATTGATGCTATCAGTGTACCCAATACCCTTAACAAATTTTAGAAAACTTCTTTACAATCCCTTTAATACAAAATATTTAACTGAATAGACAATAGATTTTAAATAATGTTTCTATAGTTAAATATACAATAATTAAACAAAGATACACTGCAATATGTATCAATAAAATATACAATAAGTAAACAAGGATACACAATGTATTTATAAATGATATATACAATAATAAACAAATTATACATATATATCTAAGATTTATTATACAAAATTTTATCAATAAGTACACTTTAACTGGACTAGAAATTCATAAATTATTTCTAATAAAATAACAATATATAACCTGCCAGTTGATTAAGTACAATGGGTTCGTATTTCCTCAAATTTCTAATGCCTCTACCAGGGCTTTTGTCATAAATCTCTTTTTTTTAATATATGTACAAAAATTAGTTGATTCTAGGTGCTGATCTATCATTACTTTTAGCTTTCCGTAATGTTACACTAGCAAACATTGGATTCCTTTGATGCCTGCAAAATACAAAAACAAAAACCCTACAATCAAATATTTCCACTGTTAAAATAGTGCTCAATACATCAATTTGATTTTGCATTTTGATTAAATAGACATAACAATCAATCAATCAAAACTGTCAAAAACACTTGTGGTCAACAGTTTGTTTGGCCCTCCTGGTGGGATTGACTCAAGTGTCAGAATATTTTGTCTTCCTGCTGTTCCACTATTTTGTGCCACGTTACATGGCTGATATGAAATGCTATTACAGAAGGCCTTCATGGAATATATCATTGGAACTAACTAAGGACGGTCCATTTTCAGCCAAGGTAAGTTACCCACTTGTCCTACTTAATAATGCTGATGTAAAAATCAAAACTTACATGGATTCTTCTTCATCAGTACTATAATCAGCTGGTGGTGGTGGGGGTAACTCATGTTGATGTGGAGGTTTCATCTGACCAGGGCGATGATCGGACCATGGTGGTGGAGGTGGTGGTACTCCTGGACTATTTCTACGTGGTGTTCCATAACCAGACGTTGATGGTACTGTACTGTTGGTGTGGTAAGAAGAAGTGGCAAGACTCTGAGAGAGAGGAGGAGGAATTGGTGCATCAGACACAGAAGACAACATATTATTGAGAACATGCGTTACAGACTGGATGGCCAGAGATTGAGAAGAGGCACCAGTAGTGGTACGGGATAGAGGTGGAGGTGGTGGTGCATGTGGCGGAGAGACAATGGGTGCAAATGTTTTAGATCTGATTAGTTTCATGCTAGGTGAACGAGAGAGTTCGGCTATGAATGAGTTACGTTTAGGTTGGGGTGTCATAGGGTGCCAGGGTATGTTGGTGCTAGGTACCGGCGGTGGAGGAGGAGGGGGTGGTGGTGGTTCACTAGGGGGTGGTGAAGAATGATAAACATGCTGTGGTTGCTGAGCTGGTGAATCATTACCTAAATGATCCTTGGCAAGCTATATATGAATAAATATTGTGATATAAATAGATGTATTAGCAGGCCCATAGCTAGCCCAGGGTCTCGGGGGGAGGGGGCAAATTTTTTAAAGGGAGGCTCAACTATAGTGACTCAACAAGTCATATCAGTTTTCTAAATTTTTGAGGGGAGGGGGCAAAAATTTTCGGCCTGGCTCACCTCTAGCTACAAGCCTGTGTATTAGTGATTTAAATAAATTATAATAATATAACATATACTATTGTCCTCACACACTCGTTAAATCAAATTCTACTGATTATTTTGAGGAGAATTGGAATCTCAGCTTTTGAAATAGCAGCAATAGCCTTAAACTTGTCTTTACATGTATGATTATAATACTTATAAATATCTTATAGATTTCGTAATTTATTAATATCAGTCTTTGTTATCTGTTTGAAACTTGCTTTTACAGAGAGCAATTTTTTAACATGTTTAGTTTTTAGTGCAAATGTGTATTCAAAACATTCAAAACTTTACATTTCAACTATTACTGCTTTTTCTGAAGATGATATTCCCAAGTAAAAATTTGATTTATCTTCGATTTGAGAAAAATAAATATTAGTGCTATGAATAAATATAGCTTACGTGACTTGAAATAATATTCAAGTGATTAGTGAATATATTTATATGTGACTAAGGGAAATGTTTGATATGTCATGTAATAAATATTCAAATTAACTTCTTCATTTTGTCAAAAATCAAAATAAAATAATCTAAAATCAGCACAAAAACATGAGAGCTTCAATGAAAGGAATCCAAAAAAGATTTTCCGCCTTTTTGTGAAAATTTCAAACACTTATAGCTTCTATTTGTACAATAATGATGTCTGTGGCTGCTGTTATTCTAGAAAAAACAACTGATCTGTCTATGATATTGCTATTAAAAAAAACAATCAAACCAAATGGGGGGCTTACATACGAAAATGTAATGATTCAAATAGAAGCTATCTGTGTCCCTGATATGCATGCTAAAGCTAGAAAAAATGTTTTGAAAGCCTTTTAAAACTTAAGACATGCCCCTTGGTTATTACATTAAACTTTCCTATAAATATGATTATATACCATATACCTATTAAAGAGACCCACCCACATACTTGTTATTCAACATTTTAAGGATATATTCAGAAATGGACATGAAAAAAGCTGAGCACTTTCAGACACTGTCAAATTTATTTTTGAATTGTTATAATTTTCATAGATGTGAGTCTAGAGTATGTTAATGCTGCATGGCAAAATTTTCCTCATTGCATAGCCTACTGCATGGAATTGCCCATCTTCATTAACTCACACAGGTGCTAAGAAAAGGTGCTAAAAAAGGATGTATAAACATCATTTCCAACACAATACTGAAGGTAAAAAATTTGGATGTAATTTCTATGTGGATGGGTCTCTTTAATATCAAATCTATTATATATATATATATATCTGTATAGTAATAATTATGATATATTATTTTAATGAAATGTTATATTGGACTAGGAAGGGGCAAATCATCCTGAAAAAAAGCAATAATATTTTCAAGAACTTATTTCATAACTCTGCACTAATCACAAAATATGCTTTATCACGTAAAGCCTTTTGCGATTAGTTTAAATGAACCACAGATGTAGGACTGAAAATTGGAATGGTGCAAATTGATGCTATCAGTGTCTCCGATACATATAAATAATTTCGAAAATCTTTTGTTATTTTTATATTTATTTTCATTTTGTCACTATTCTATTATGGGTTTAATTCTACATGTTTACAACAACACAATTCGGTTTGCAACAAAGAACAGAGAAAACCATATTGCTGTTTTTTTGTTGGCATTTCCGTCACCAGTACAAAAGTGACCTTATTTTGTATAACATTTTGTTGCAAAAAATCTGATTAGTAAAGACTATGCCTTCATCAGAATCGAAAAAAATGATGTAACTAATCAATGCACAGTCATGGAACAGAAAAAGTTAATTTCTCTTTACTACATCGAACATACATGCATGTACCAATATGCACATCTAGGCCAAAAAAAAGCAGACACACACAAAAAGCTAAGAAAGAAAAATAAAATTTAGTGCATACCTGAATATCATATTCATCAGTAAAATGGGAAGGGTAAGAATGATCGCTAGGGTCCAAAGCATGGCCGCCGCGCGGTAGAGTGTAAAAACTAGACATGGTAGAACCATTAGTAGCATCATAGCCACCATTGTTCCAACTATTAGCTTGTGATGAATTATGATTTGACTGAAATGAAATGGTGGGGAAATTTGGAAGATGATGAAATTTTTTTGGAAAGGTGAGGTGAATTTATAAATAAAAAAATAGCAAAAAAAGGAATAATCTATATCTGAATTTGGCCTAATTTTGTCATAAGATAAAATTTTCTTCAAACAATTTTTAAGCCACAAATTTTGGATGCATTGTTTAAGAAAATGTCAAATTAAAGTTTTTCTTAACAATGTCAATAAGGTTTATAAGATCTTTATACAGATGAAGCACATGTAAAAACTTAATGACAAAAATTAATCTATATAATTATATAGTAAAGAAAACAGAAATGAGCACAAGAGACAATATGCATAAAATGCCAAATAATACTACATGCATTAACTAAGAACAGAATTTCTATGCTAGGTATTAGTTCACTATGTGACACAATATAAAATATAAAACAACATGGGACAACAATTAAAGGGATTCTAAAGGGGTTCTCTAAAAAAAAAATCATCAATTTTCAATCAGATGTCTGCGATTCCTGCAATTCCAACTAAGTATTTGATGATGTCACGAACTGCAAATTATGCTTTCTTTCATTTAACACTTAGTTTTTTTGGAATTGCAGGATCTAAAGACGTCTGGAAATTGGATTGGTTCAAAACTTAAAAAACCTCTTTACAATCCCTCTAAAACAATTGGACACCTTTAGGAGATATAGTGTCCTAAATATTGACTGAAGTCAGCTTATAAAACTCATTTAAACTAACCCTAACACTTTTCACAATCAAAATTTGATCTCCAGTTAACATACAATTCAACAAAAATGCTCTGTGAAAGTCAAGAACATTAACAATGTTATCATGCAGAATATTCGAGTATTTCTTTTGAATTGTAGGCTTACCAGCTGTCAAATTTTATTACTGAAAAGTAATATAGATAGCTGCAATATTTCAATTACTATATCTTTATCTAATTTCAAGTCCACCAACTTTTTGAGGCAATTTTAGAGTAAATCCTCTCAATTCTAAAATCTCCTATAATAAACTTGAGTACTAATGTACTTACCACATTGATATGAGAGGTGTCATATAGTGATCTAGGTCTACCTCGACCAGTTGGTATTATCTCAGGTTCAGTATTATAGCCACTCTGATCAGATATTGATCTAGAATCTAATAAATCACCTATACTCTTAGCTCTCTGCATACTGTAATTATATACAACCATAAAACTAAGGTTTGATATTTTCACTATGATTTCATAGTGAATAGCTTACCATTGCAGACATGAACCTGAACAAAATTTTCTTGTAAATGACCAAAATGTTTGGCACTCGAAAGAAACAAATGGATTGACAGACAGTATTAAGCATAGGCTCGGCAGGTTGCAAACTTGAGCTTAATGTCTGGTAATTTCATATTTTTGAATTAGAGTTGTATAGACAGCCCTACAGCCTCGTTGCCAGGAATGAATTAGTGCTTTGGCTCAGATATGTCTTGTCTTACCTAGAATGAGCACCTATATCTGGTGGACCAGTAAATGATAATGGGAACCATCCATATCTATAACATAATATAATCAACAAAAACAATTTTAATATCTGGTCACATCAGATCAGCTTTAAAACATTACAAACAGTCCATTTTCTTTTAGGGTTGGATAAAAATATTAATTAAAAATATACATATCATGTTTAAATTGTGTACATTACTAACTCAAAATAAAGTGGACTTTTTATGTTTCAAATCGTACAAATATCCCAACTTCAAATTTGAAGAATTTCATTTTACTCTTTAGGAATTTTTGATGCTGGTGTGCAATTGTCTGATCAAAAAGACTGCACTTAGATGCATATAGTTAATAATCTTTTTTCATCAGTACAAAAATACTATATACTATCAACAAAAGTAATCTTGATTAGAAACAAGCGAAGATTCAAAAATAAAATTATGACATGACATGTTGTTAACATCTGACTAATAGCTTTACTTACTGTCCAGTACGAACATTATGGCCATATTGCCATCCATCAGACTTCTCTCCTATTAATGTTATAACATCACCATCACCAAAACTCAGTTGATTATTGCCTTCACCAACATGAGCATAAACTGCTCTTACTTGTGCTCCTTTAGGTGGTGAAGATGGTTGCATTGTATGATGCCTTGGTAACGTCTTACCTGAAAAATACAATCAGAAAATGAAGCAGTTCATACAAGATACTGGTTAGTGATGGAAGTTAGAACACAATAAGAATATTTGGAATACTTATAGTATTAAAAAACTTAAAAGCCTATTTCTATGTAGATAGCTAGTACAATCATTATATTGTGGATAACTGCTTGAAACCTCGTATAACGATATATGACGAAATTGCTTTTCGAGAAAAACACATAAAACTATTCGTACATTTATTTTGTTAAAATCTTTTTTATTCTTTTTTTACCACTATATGTAGTTTTCATTCTTTGAAAATTTAAACCTCGTATAACAATTTGAGTTCTCAACATCTATAACAAGTTTTCAGGATAAAGGATGATTAAAGATACTCACTATGTAATATAGAAGGTGAAGCATATTCTGAATGTGGTCTAACTGGTCTATGAGTATTGTATTCTGCTGACTGAGAACTCATAGGTCTACGATAGGGGGTGGTATTGAATGATGTATCACTATCATATTCCCCTCCTCCAGGGTAACCATTATGACTAATATTGCCCCCACCCCCTGCCCCATTCCCTCCTCTTCTCTCCACAATATCTGGTCCATCCTAAAATATCAACATCCACTAAACATTAATATCTCTTAATATCTTGTCGGGATTGGCAAAAAATTTAAACTTCTGAATAATTCTAAATTTCCGAGACATTTAAAAAAAATTTCTAATAAAATAACTGTAATGTATTTTTTTTTTTCAAATTCTTTAAATATCTTTCAATTTTTAGCTTATTTTTAGTTTTCTCTAAAAGATTTAGCACAGCAATCAATATATTCAAAATTGAGATCTGTAAGATTACCTTTAATATAGAACGATATTACCATTTTGACTTGAAATTCAACAAAAGTGACACTTTGAAAGTTACAATACATTATGTTAAATGCATAAAGCAACCATGCAAAATACAAAATTGATACAAATCAAGTATAGTATGTTAAAGAACATATAAATTCAGAAATAAACCACATACATGCATAAATAAAGTAAGACAAAATGAAATTAAAACTGATTTTAATGGCCATGGATTATGATTGTAAACTGTATAATAGTCCATAAAACATTCAAAAATATTTCAAAACATATACAGTTCACTTTTACATAGTCACTTTGTCAAATGTATTCCCTAGTAGCTTATAAAGGGTTCCCTTTATGAAACTATGCCTTAATTAAATGTCCTTTATAAAACTATGCCTAAATTAATTGTCCTTTATGAAACTATGCCTTAATTAAATGTCCTTTATAAAACTATGCCTAAATTAATTGTCCTTTATGAAACTATGCCTTAATTAAATGTCCTTTATGAAACTATTCCTAAATTAAATGTCCTTTATGAAACTATGCCTTAATTAAATGTCCTTTATGAAACTATGCTTTAATTAAATGTCCTTTATGAAACTATTCCTAAATTAAATGTCCTTTATGAAACTATTCCTAAATTAAATGTCCTTTATGAAACTATGCCTTAATCAATTGTCCTTTATGAAACTATGCCTAAATTAATTGTCCTTCATGAAACTATGCCTAAATAAAATGTCCTTTATGAAACTACGCCTAAATTAAATGTCAGTAATATGCTACCTGTCTGAAACCCCCTCATCTGAACATATCCCCACTTTGCTTTTGTAATTATCAATAATGACTGATTTTATAAGATAGCTAATTAATAGGAAGTTTATACAGAGGGAAGGACAGAATACAGATTATATAAATAATATTTTCATATAGAAAATTTTAAAGATGGCTTCCACATTTTTCTGCCTATTGAATGAACTTTCAATGCTTGTTCTTATAAGCCTCTGAACATGTTTTTAATGCTTAAAGCCATGTTAATAAGTATCATATTATGTACATGTATGGGGCAATTACAACTTCTATTTGTACCATTCCAATGTGGAATATGTTTCCTGTAATTCCAAAAACAGAAATGAGGTCATGATCAGTTAAATCATTTTTAGTAATAGTGATCTCAACTTTTTCTGTATTACAGAAATTACAGACATCGGACAAGAAATTTAGGTGATGTGCAACAAGGGAAAAAATGTGGTAGCCCATCTTTAAATGTAAAAGTAAGAAAGATATACATAAGAGTGATATATTAGAGGGAAACTATATATTTGGATGTGCTGTATACATGTATACTAACTGATTTCCTCAGAAAATAGTCTGATGATTGAGGTAATATATGAGGATTAGAACAGATTTCTTTCCATCTTGTTGTTCCTGATAATAACTCATTACCCTTCAAAATATACAACATCATATATTACACCTTGATATCAGATATTCCTCACTGGTTATGTATTTAAATAGCTCCAGTGTGATGTAAATAGAACTTTAGCCTATTCAGATTCAGCCATGGTTCCCAAACACTAAATTTTGATAAATTCAGTTTGAAATTTTTTATGAGAGACACATCCAGGCTAATTTTTGCATAAACAATTCTTAACCATTTCAACCCTAGCGGCCAGTTTAACGGCCACACATTAACGCAAAATATATACCCTAGCAGCTGTTACTAAGTGACATCATACAACGTTAACGTCATACACTTTTACTTTTATTACTTGGAGTTCAGGGTATATGATGTTATATTTCATTTACACTCAGGGTTCAAAAGTTAAATGGTTACACCTGAACATTTATATCTAAAAAATTTAAAACATGCAAAAACACATTCATTCCAATTACCAGTAACCATCACAGTTTTTTTTCTATAAAATCAAATCTAAAATGTTAGCACTAATTACACAAATTAAAACCCAGTCCATTAACAACCTTAATCAATATTCAGATTTAACTGAAATTTTTCGCTAGTATACTTACTACTAAGGTTAATTCTTTAGCACCAGTTAATAGTAATATTGACTAAAAATACCATTTGATAGTTAATTATTACTCACTAGTAATAATATAGTGTATTGTCATAGTGACTTTTCTATGCAATCAAAGTGATTTCTTGCTATGGGTTGTAGTGAGGCATAAACTGCACACTTTTCAGAACAGTTGATGCCATCTAAAAATGCATTCTGATTTTCACTGTACAATTCCAAGAGAGCACTTCATTCCCCACTATGGTATCATAATAAACAGAAGACATTAAATTCAAAAGTCTTTTGACTTGAGTCAGTAGTTAAAAGAATATTAATGAATGACCTTAAGATTATTTTTGCACATCAGTCATAAACTAAAATAAGATAACTTCATTCTAACTTCAAAACTTAGTAAGAAATTTCTCTGTCCTTAAAAACTTAAATATCATGTTTAGATATGATGTTTTGATGTTTTTTATAATTCCAATTTCAAGCATACCAGAAAAATAATATTACTAGAACTAACTTACCCTGCGATGATGTGTAGATTGAACATAAGCTAATGATGTTAATCTTTCTAATAAAAAACAGTAATCTTTTCTTTCTTCTAATAATGCCTTGAAAATACACAAGAAAGTGAGACTTCAGGTCCATAACTAGGGGGGGCGCTGGAAATACATTCTCAATCTCTATCAGCTATTGTCCTCCATGCAAATTCGGCTGTCCCCCTTGGCACATTCGACTGGTTACGGGCCTGGAGACTATCTAAGTTATAGACAAGAAATCACTATAAAAGCTCATAGAAGATAAGAAGGCAGTTAATTTTTATTAAAATTCATAAAACTTTGGTAGCAATTCGAAATGTAACACTTGTAGACTTCAGATAGATCTTGCCAGTGACGTTAGTTCCTTAAGGTTATAGAGACAGTCGAAAGTTGCTGTTCCTTCTATAGACTTTGCAGAAGGTTTTCATGAAAAATAAGTTAATTTGATTCACAGCTTGTCATGATGAATTTTCATTTTGGCTAATTATAGGAAATATTGGATCGTGAAAGAGATCAATTTGACTCGCGATCTACGATGGGATACCACTTAAATTGATTGAACCCTGTTCTTTATAAGAGGTTTTGAATATGCTCTCCTTATTTGATCAAAAATAAAACTAACACACTTCAAAATGTTGTATAAGTACTTTTTAGAATAATGGCATCATTTTTTCTGCTATTCTTATAGATTATAATGCAAGTCTCCAATTGGCCTACATTTTTTTTCAATAACTGATAAATGATGAATTATGATAATATTAGTAATATCAATATAAAGTATATTAATGTAAACAATAAAGATAATAAGTTATAATAGATAATAGCCTAGAGATATTCAATGATAACATTATCAATTATAATCAAATTAAACCTTGTCAATTATCAGTTATAACCTCTCATAAATACTGACCAATATTTGGATAACATGCATGTTGTGTGAATTACTAAAACAAAACCTGAAACATGTTGTTACTCAGAGTTTCACGCTGTATGATCTTCAGACAATTGAGATATTTCAGCCTGTGTCCCGTCAGAATTTTGTAAAAAATGGGGTGGGGGTGCTTGCTTAAAAATTTTTCTGATTTTGAATATGAGAATCAATGTAATAATCTTGTAATTTTTTTGAATTTTTAGATACTGATCTTTAATTAGTGAATGCTTCATTAGCCCACATGGTGCAAAAAAGTAGGACATAAAACTCATTTCATTTAAATTAGTGAATTACACTATTTCTAAGACCTCTACATTAGGAAACTGTGGATGAAAAAATCCAGGAGTAGTTTCACTACCATGGATCCATTTAACATCAAGATATAGGTATAGCTAAATAACTTACAGTTTTTAAACCCTGAACTCTAAACTCATCTAATTTATCTTGTGTTCTTCCTACAGCTTTTAAAAACTGTAATAAAATATATAACATCAACAATGGTAAAAAAATAACAAAATGACAACCAATAGTATGTACACTAAATACATGTAAGTAATGTAATCTTAGCTAAGAACAACAGTCAAACTTTTTGCACAAAAATTGTACATAATTGTACCCGAGTGTACATTATCGTAAGATCTGATGACACATCATTGTACTTGATTGCAGATCATTAGTACCATAATTCACACCATTGTACCCTATTGTAAATCATTGTACCCAATTGTAAATCATTGTACCCAATTCTACATCATTGTACCCTATTCTACATCATTGTACCCAATTCTACATCATTGTACCCAATTCTACATCATTGTACCCAATTGAACATCCTTGTATCTGATCATACATCATTGTACCCAATTTACCATCCTTGTATCTGATCGTACATCATTGTACCCAATTTACCATCCTTGTATCTGATCGTACATCATTGTACCCAATTTACCATCCTTGTATCTGCTCGTACATCATTGTACCCAATTTACCATCCTTGTATCTGCTCATACATCATTGTACCCAATTTACCATCCTTGTATCTGATCGTACATCATTGTACCCAATTTACCATCCTTGTATCTGCTCATACATCATTGTACCCAATTTACCATCCTTGTATCTGCTCGTACATCATCGTACCCAATTGAACATCCTTGTATCTGATCGTACATCATTGTACCCAATTTACCATCCTTGTATCTGCTCATACATCATTGTACCCAATTTACCATCCTTGTATCTGCTCATACATCATTGTTCCCAATTGTCCATCATTGTATCTGATTGTACATCATTGTACCCAATTTACCATCCTTGTATCTGCTCATACATCATTGTACCCAATTTACCATCCTTGTATCTGCTCATACATCATTGTACCCAATTTACCATCCTTGTATCTGCTCGTACATC